GAAGCTGAAGCTATTTTTAGACAGCTGAGCTAGTGGCAGGTCACTGATTAAAGGTACTGACAAAGACAGCTAGCTGGCTCTCTGCAAAGTTAAAAAACACATACATGCACCTCTTAAACTGCATCATTTTTGTTGAATCTGTACTAAAACAGATACCAGTGAGATATAGGTTTGTCTCCATGTCAATTATGGAACAAGAGCCAGGAGGCTATTAGCTTATCTTAAAGACTGGAAGCAGGCAGAAACCTCTAGCCTGCTCTTTTTAAAGTTTAACAGTACGTCTACCTACACCACCTAATGTTTACAAATTAACACATTCTATTTTACATATTTAAGAGACTATAATGCAATATGAATATTTGTACATTTGGGAAGTTGAAATTATAAAAAAAAAAAAAAAAAAGATCACGATATCAGCTACTGACAAATGAAAGACTGTCCGTAAAGCTACAGTTGTAGTCAGAAGTTTACATACCGGTATATTCCTCATGGACGTGAATTGCCTGACAATATTGGGCTTTTAATAATTTCTTAAAACTGTTCTTTTTTCTGGGGCAGACTGATTGCACAACATATATCTATCTATCTATATATAAATATAATAAAAACAAAACAAAAAAAAGGAATTTGGGTCACAAGTTTTAATTCATTTAGGGTTTTCTGTAATCAACACAGGGTGGAAATTATACATACAGGGTCAAAAATATACATACAGCACACCTAATATTTATTTGAATGTCCCTTAGCAAGTTTCACCTTGAGCATACACCTTTGATAACCATCAACTTGCTTCTGGCAGAATTCTGGTTCAATATTTGACCGCTCTTGCAGGTCGAGTTCAATAAATTGTGTTAGCTTCTTGGCACGAACTCGACTTTTAAATATGGTCCACAAATTATGAAAGGGTCGAGGCCAGGACTTTGGGAAAGCCATTCCCAAAAGCTTAATGTTTGCCTGTCTTTTCTATTCCACAACGAGCTTTGATGTGTTTTTGGGGTCATGGGCCTGTTGGGACACCCAATTATGTCTAAGTTTTAAGGTCTGGGCTAATGGTTTAAGATCATGCTGAATAATTCTAAGGTAGTCCGCCTCGTCATTATTCCATCCACTGTGTGCCTCACCTTTACTCCTCCAAAAATACCTCTGGTCATTGAGGCCAATCAACTTAATATTTGTCTCATCTGACGATAAAACTTTTCCTTCAGAAGGCTTTTCCTTTGTTCATGTGGTCAGCTGCAAACATTAGACGCTCTTGAAGGTGTCGATTTCGGAGCAGGGACTTCTTTCTTGGATGGCGGCCTTTTAGTCCATAGCAATGTAAAACTCGCTGGACTGTAGACAGTGACATTAGTGTTCCAGCAGCTTTTTCCTGACAATCTGAAACAATTTCCTGCCAGCTGAGGAAGACCGTTTGGATCTTCTTCTAAACCTTGGCAAAGTGGCTACACCGCCCAGGACTTTCCTATTACTATACTATACTATGTACTATGTATCGGTCAATCCAATGAGTGCTATCAAACCTTTTTATGTCGGCACAGAGAAGCTACCAGCTGTAGTCAATCATGATCACTAACAGGAAGTTAAGAGGCCTTGTGTTTGGCAAATTGAAGGACATTTTGGAAGCACCACTGAATTCAGAATGTAAGTGTTTGTATACGTTTTGACCCTGAGTTGATTACAGAAAACCACAAATTAATTCAAACTTGTGAACCAAATTCATGTGTTGTATAATCGTTCTGCACCAGAAAAATGTAGTTGACAGCAACTGTATATCAACCAGCTTGACTCTCTACTAGTGTTGTACTCATGACCGCCCAAACCAAGACCAAGTCAAGACCAAGACCAGAGTTTATCGAGACCGAGACAAGAACAATACTTTTAGGGGCTGAGAGCAGTTGAGACCAAGACCGAGGGAGGGCGAGACCGAGTCAAGACCAAGACCAGTTCCCAGTATCTTCAACCAAGTCTAGTTGCCCTTGACTTTAACCTTCGTTGGATAAGTCCCCTTGCTTTCTGTTATGCTAAGGTAAGCTAATAGACTTCCAGTTCTAGCTCCATAGCCTAACATACTGTATGTGTTTCAATCTTCTCCTCTAGCTCTCAGCAGGAACGCAAATAAGCATATGTCCCAAAATGTCAAAATATTCCGTTAAGTGTAAATAATTGATGCTTTCCAGAAATGACAAGTGTTTCACTTTCACAAATTAGCCCAGATGTAATTTCGGTATTAGTACTTTATTTGACTTTTCCCCTCTCCCTTTCTCCCGACTTCCTCATCAGCAGTATTTTGCCCTTTGCTAAACCCTCACTGTAAAAACAATGAAAAATTTTGAAATAGAAAAAAACTTTCCAAATCTAAGAAAGGCTTACACAATTTAGATTTCCATCACTTAAATCTACCAAAGTTTTGGTACCTATTACTGTAAAATGATTGCTGGAATGAAGGTATGGAAAATCACCAAATTTTCTAACATTGAGGCTTTTCCTTTAAAAAATACATAGCAATGACTTTTCTCCAAATTTGGTATACAATATATGCAAAACCAACTGGACATACTTAACTAATACACTCTAGCAGCTCTGCAATAAATCCTTGAAGGTTACAAAGTTAACTTTTAGTTCAGTATTTTTTATATTGGCTATTTATTTAGTATTTTAAAGAGGTTCTGTGGCTGCAGTTTGCGCTGCTGTAGAATTGCATTGAATTATGCTGAGGTTAATAAAAGTTTGTCCACTCCATTTATATCAATGAGGGTAGACGCAGGAACACCACTATATAACTAAACCGCAACATAAACCACATGCTCCAAAATTATCGTACATTTGAATCAACACTAGACAGTAACAAAAACTGAACATTATAGCCTTCATGGTGGCAGATTTGACCACAAAGCTGTTGTATTAGACTGCATTACTTTTAGCTTGTACCTAATAAACCATCAACAAGCCATTTTTTTGATGCAGGGTGAGGTGGGTGTTGGCTGGTCAGTCGAGAAAATGGGAGAGTTTCATGACTTAAGCACTTCACCAACAGGGTGTGATGCCCTGTGCTGACACAGATAGTCGGTGCTTTACAAACATACAGACAGAGGGCAATGTACAGCACTTGACACAGAACTGCCGCCAGTACTTTCTCTGCGGTTGGTAGCATAGCAACAAGTGGTAAACACAAGGCGAGCAGAGACAAGATTACTTGCACAGCTTTCCAAAAAAAAACCAAAACCCAAATATGTAAAGAGGAAGTCCCAGTATTTCCCATGTGGGGTGAATATCTGACCATATATACACACAAGTATGCAATCTTGGCAACAGGAGAAAAAACACAGGACTGCAAGAACAGTTTGTCCTAGATGCATCATACTTCTAAGAGAATGTCTGGCATTCAAAAGAGACACACAGGAGATGGTGTGAGCCTGTACAAGTGACGTTTGTCTGACGTGACGCACACTCAGACAGAGATAGTGACATCACTGGCCTGCTGGGCTAGTGTATATGTATCGCCTCCCCTGGGATACTGTTGCTATGTTTAAACCAAGCCTACCTTAAACAGAAGTAATCCTGGGAATTTTTATTCTAAATGTGAGGGGAGCACAGACAGGTAGCTCTATCACGCACTTGTTGTGCAACAGAAAGGAATTTCCTCAAAGCAACTGAGGGACAAAAAATTGTCAAAACTTTTTTTTTGAATCACAAGGAATATCAAAACACTGGGGGGTGGCGTAAAAAAGACAAAGAAAATATTAAAAATTCCTACCAAACGTCACAGTAAAGTTATACATTTTCTGTAAGTTTAACACAGTGTTTTACAGCATCAAAAAGTAATTTGTGCAGGATTTCACCTCCAGGGGTGTGTTAAGCATGTACAACACTAGACGGGTAAGTCCAGAACATCCTATTGTGGAGCATGCAATGCTGGTTTCATAAATGGGTCTCAGTGTGGAAACTTTAGAATTATTCCCCCTCTGCATGTGCTCTAAATTCACTTTGTAGAGTAACAGTGTACAGAGACAAATGTGGAAATCCTGCCCCCTTCTTCTGTCTTACCCCCTGAATCAGACAGAAATGTGGATTAAGTTTGTTGTGTTTTTACATATGCACTATTTTCACACATGAAAATCCCATGAAAATGTACTGTAGGTCACAAAAACCTATAAAGAAAATGCCATAATAATGATGATGAATAGCCTATATTAAGAGGCATGTCAACTTTGAGACTGTTAAAGTGTTTGACGGTGAAAGAGAATAATCTTAAGTAGAATAAAATAAATAAACACATGCAGAACATGCATACATATAAATGTGTTTTTACCCTAGACTCAACTTTCCCAACCCCACACCTCAAACTAAGCGAATGTTGCAAATCCTGCATTCTAATTCAGTAATGATAAAGCATAGTGGTTAAATAAAATGTATTTGTGGTATTCAAGTGTGTAGGAGGCTGTGCCATTATAGCGAGATAAATGCAAAAATATATGTGCTTTGCAAGCAAAATTATCTTTTATCTTTATGATTATTACAGCCACATAATCTTCTCATTCAGAGAAGTTAGATAATAACAGTGTGGTTCTTATGGTTTATGAACTCGAACTCAACTTCATATTGGAAACTTGAGAGTCTCCTTTTAAACGAATTAAAATTTTGGCCAAACTCAGATGGAAAATAAATGGAAAATATTTGGTTAGCCACTTGAAACAGATAATTTCCCCAATGCAGAAGGGAATTCTTCAAGAGCAAGTCAGGGGCTGTCTCCCTCTCATTCATGCCCATCGTGTCTCATTCATTGAAATAAATAATGGCATGTCCCCTAACCTACATCACAGGTGAAAATAGGTGTCTAGTAGGAAACTACAAGTTTTCAGTCTGAGTCTCTTTGGGGGGGGATTTTTCTCACAAAAGCACGGCACGGTGTGATTTCCCTTACTTTTTCTAAGATAAGTCAATTGGAAATCCCCGCCGAGGCTCCGCCCTCCGAGAGCACAAAACCAGTGCGCCTTCCTCAGCTGCACTACACTTCCCTGACCTTTGCATACAGACGGAGCTGCTACTCAGCTACATGGACGTCCGCAGAGTATCTAACCACAATCAAATGGATTATAACCTGGACAACATGGAGCCCAAACACGGGAAAATGTTGCCCTGCCAAGAGGACCGTTTTGACAGCGGCCTGGATTCCCTGAAGGAGGACGAGCTGGTGAACGAGTTTGAGGACATGGCTGTGAGCACAAGCGAGGACCTCACACAGGAATACGAGCCTTGGAGAAGTGCGGTGACTGAAGACGGTGACACGTAAGTACACTTTTCTAAATTATATTTAAAACTGCAATTATGCATTTTGCAAGTTTGACCCTTCTGCCTAAATCAAATGGGAGTTTTGCAGTAGAGTGCAGCATCCGAACTCTAAACCCAATGCACTGAAAAGATGCTGAAAAGCTGCAAAAGCAGGCATGAAATTGTCTAAAGTTGCACGAAAACAAGAGGCATTTAAAAGTGTGTGTGTGCAGCACAGTTATTCAGTTTGTGTATATGTGTGCGTACTTTGGCCGAGAGCGCAGTCTGGGCGGTGCTAAATTTTGCTCTGCGAGTTCAGGAAAGTCCCTGGCCCGCTGCCAGGAACTGATAAAGCATCAGATGTGTCAAGCCACAACTGGTGGAAATAACCCGACAAAACTCCATTCTTGCGAAACACTCCACTGCTCTGGCTTTGTTCTTTCTTATTTGGCTGGAACCATTTCCTCTGTGTGTAATTTTTTTTTTTTCTCTTTTGAAAAGCACTATTTTAACTAACCCCACCCCCTCCTCTTCACCCCACAGGCTTCTACACTTGGCCATCATTCATGAAGCCACTGAACATGCCCTCCAGATGATCAAGCTGTCCCACAATCACCCCTTCCTCAATGTACAGAACCACCAGAGACAGGTAATAATCCAAATCAAACCCAAATAATTAGACACCAAAATACCAAAATCACCAAAATACACACCCCTGCCTTCCTCATCATGCACACACACACTGCCATTAAAGTCACAACAATAACTAAATATAATTTATAAATGTGTCCTCCCCAGACTGCCCTCCACCTAGCAGTGATCACAGAACAGCCCCAGTTGGTTGAGAGGCTCCTGAAGGCCGGCTGTGACGCTCGGCTGTCCGATGACAGCGGGAACACGGCTCTCCACATCGCCTGCAAAAAGGGCTCCCTCGCCTGCTTTGGCGTCATTACCCAGAACTGCCAACGCCACCTCACCTCTATCGTGTCCTTCCCCAACTACAGTGGTAAGTTTGAGTTCAAGTAGTCTCTTTAAAGACGCACACAGGCGATCATGTTTCACCCATGCAGTTCTGGATTTGGGTTGTTAACCAAGCCTTTTCCTGATTTTGCTCTTCACAGGACAAAACTGCCTCCACTTGGCCTCCATAAACGGCTACATTTCATTGGTTGAAAACCTCGTTCATCTGGGTGCAGACATCAATGCACAGGTAGGTGTCATTAACTCCAAACGCAGCCAGACTAACTTTTCACAGATGTCTAAAGGAAAAGCTCAGTCACATGCAGCAGGAACCTAACATTATTTCTTTCTGCTGTTTCCTATAGGAACAGTGCAGTGGGCGGACGTCACTCCATCTGGCCGTGGATCTCCAGAACCTCGCACTGGTCCGTTGCCTCCTTGACCTTGGCGCCGACGTTAACTGCTTTAACTATGGCGGCTTCACAGCGTACCACCTCACTTACGGGCGCCAAAACGAAGAGATCCGCCACCAGCTGTACGAGAGAACGGCGCAGGAGCTCAGGGAGCTGCCTGAGAGCGAATCAGATGAGAGCGATATGGAGGAGGGGGACGTATCGGAAGATGAGGTCAGTTTCTGATTTTAATGTATTTATGGGCAATATCGGCCTAAGATTTCACATAATCACGTCTTTAAATTATGGGTTCCTGACGGGTTTTTTTGTTTTTTTTCCTACAGCTGTACGATGACATAAAGTTCGGAAAATAAACAGAACTGTCCCTCCACTGGTGAAGAAAGTGAAGCTGCTACTGGGTTGCCCAGCCACGGCCCCACATCAAGGGACATGTCAGTACGCGTCCCCCGTCCAGGTCCAGGTCCACAGGCGGTGGTCTTGGGACCACAAACATGAATGAAGACGGTGTCAAGTCTGGTCAAGTGCGGTCCAGATCACAGAACGATCTGCACCAAAAAACCATAATACAGCAAGACCACGACCTCCATAAAGTCCTTTCATATACTGTATAAATATATATTGATGTGTACATACCAGAGAAGACGTGTAATATATTGTACATACAGAGATATTATTTTTTTTACCTGTACATATGTTGTGTGTGAATTTAAACACTATTAACAAAAAATGGTTAAGAATAAAAAAGTTTATGAATTTAAACAGCACTGACTGGTGTGATTCCTTCACTCAGCATGAGTGTTATTTCCTTCCACGTGATGACTTTCCACGCTGTAAAACAATCATCATTTCTCACTTACACAAAGTGACAAGGAAGAGAGTCATCCCCCAGACTTGTGAAAGATACATAGACGAAAGCGATCACACTCAGCCACTTGGAACAGTCTGGGATTTCCTTGTTAGGGCGAGGTCACCGGGTCTCTGAGTCACCGTGTTGAAAGTCCCTGTGCAGCGTAAGAGGAACATAATGTACTTAAATATTCCACCCTACCCTTGTACTACGGCTGAATGGCAGCTGGTAACTGGCACTGGCTAGAAATACCAAGGAAATGTTTTAAGGTGGAAATGTCTTTACCAAAGTGGGAAAATGTGCCAGAGATAGTTAAGAAGTATGTGTGACAATGGCCAGGAAAGTGCAGCAATGTGGGAAGTATAACACTCACCTGTCAGCTGCAGTGGTGTGGGAAGTATTCAGTTTGGTACTTAGGCAGAACAAGTCCAGCAATGAAAATGTTACTTAAGTAAAACGTCAGTATATACTAAAAGTATTAAAAGGCAACTCTACTCAATACAGAATAATAGCCCCTGGGACTGTTCTATAATAAACAATATCGTTAGATTTTACTCCTTTTACTCATTCTTTATTCTTTACTTGGATTCCCATTAGCTTCCACAAAGTGGCTGCTAGTCTTCCTGGGGTCCACAGAAAATACTATCAAACCATCATTTAAAATATCAGAGCATGCACTAATATAAAAGCAGGATTTTACTGTTGTAGTTGGTTGAAGTGGAGCTCATTTTTAAACTATTTTGTGTAATTATTATTTTCATAATTGATGAAATTGCTGATTATATTTCTGGTTAATCGTTTATATGATTTGTAAAAATGGAAAAAGTGAGAAATGATGTCACAATTACTCAGAGCCCAAAGTGACATAACGCCTGTTCTGTCCAACTAACGCAACAAACCTCAGAATTAGTCAAAATAAATTAAAAGTATTGAAAGTAAAAGCTGCAGATCACAAGTCGAGAAGCTGGAAAGAATGAGAATGTTTTTAAAGTGGGAGGCGGGCATCCCCAGGGGGGCTCCAAACTGTTTCGGGGGAGGCTAAGTAAATACAAGTGGAAAATTATTACATTATCATATGAAGATCACATAGTAGAATAGCCGAAATGTGTGTGTGATTTGGTGAAAGAGGTGGGTCAGAGATACAATTTTAATACAGTCAGAAACGAATAAATGCCTTAGGACAAACCTTTGTTATGTATTTGAAGTTGTCTGAAGTTAAACAGCCATAGTGGACTATATATTAGTGAAACTAAGCAAACTAAAAAAAGTAAGGGGGCACCTTTTTCCAAGGTTTGTCTGAGGGAGGCCCACAGTCTCAAACATTAAAAACCAAACCAATTCAAAATTTAAAAACCCCTAATCTAAACAATCATCTGAATAGTTAATTTTCAGTCAGGTCACCAACTGTTTCAGCTGTACTTATATAAACTGTTGGGTAGTTTAATTTATAACTGAAAATCATATTTCATGTTTTGTATGCCAAAATCTTAATTTGTAAAGTAACTGAAGCTGTCTAACTGTAGTAGTATTTCAAATTTAAGTACAGTACTTGTGTAAATGCACTTAGTTACATCCCACTGCTGGTCAGCTGATAGATGTGTGCACAATAGAGAGGAACTTTTCAGAAAGGAATTACCTGAAATGACCAGCACAACCCACTGTAATTCCCAGTATGAAGTAAACCTGGAGCAAACACTCATTTAGTGCTCAGAAAATGTCACCCAGTGATTTGGTTTATTAGCGGTGTATACTGGATCTAGCCTGTAATTGTCCTCATGGCTGTAAACATTAACTGGATTGTGGACCTGTAGAGAAGCGCAGGGGGATTTTCCCAAGGACAAAGTTATAACTTCTTAAGGACAGTGGAAATTACATAAGAGTCACAGACTTTGAGCTCTACTCTCAGCAGAAAAAAAGTCCTAAAGATTATTATAGGAGGGAAACACTTGATATTTTAGCTGGATTTCTGTAACAGCGGCAAAAAGACGTAGAGTGACTAGAAGTGATGAAATGACTGATGGGAAATGGTCTAAAAGCAACTGAGAATGACTGATCATCCTTTCTAATCATATGTTGATGACATTACACTTGTAAATGCTGAGCTGAGACAGGGTCGTTGTCTAGAATTCTTAACCACTGTTTCCCCCTGACACACACTAGGGGCCAAATGCCAGGGGAACAAATTTTCCCTTCGCAAAGAGAAACTGCTAGTGTTGTAGGAGATATCCGGTGAGTTGAAGTAATCTATTTCTGACATGCTACATGAGCGTAAAAAAAAAAAAGTCTAAACGTTGAGAAAATGAGGTCAAACCAGCTCCACATCACTGTGTAGTAAAATAAGTTCTCCACAGCACCTCGGCGTGTAATTTCATTTCACTGCATTCACGAACAGGAAGCTCAGAGGTTGAGCTCTGAACCACTCATGTTCCCATAAACAATTTTCCCCTGCTGCAAATTCAACTTCGACAGACGAAACTACAGCTGATGAAACAAGATGCTGCTGTTTACATGGCCAGAAGTTCAAAAGCCTACATAAATATTTCTATATTGTATACATGTATAATATGCATGTTACAGCATGCAAAATCATACATCTTCACAATAAATATGAAACGGGTGGTTATTTTACTCCAAAAAACTTTTTTATTTTTTATTATTGTTGAATGAAACAGTGGGGTAAATGTACAGCGAACAAAGATAACACCTCCATCTGGGAACTGCGTATCCCATCATGCTCTACTTGAATCCAACAGTCGACCTCTGCTCGCTCAGTCCCGCTCTGCCAGGGACATTAGGTGGGTGTCCACTTCAGTCTCTGTCAGAATCCTGGAGAGAAGACAAATTTAAGTATTTGATGCTTTTCTTTGCCATATATGATAGTGACTGGATTGCTGGACTGTTGGTTCACCAAAGGAAGCATTATGAGTACATCTCCTATGTTGTGGGAAACTATAACAGGCTCTTTTACTGCTTTCTGACATTTTATAAACAAAAAAATGATTCTATTAAATAGAGAAAATAAGAGGCAGGTATATCCATAATGAAAATAATGTTCAGTTGCAGCCCTAACTAACATATTATAATAAGAATGAGCTTCAGTGTCATTAGGTGACATATTACTTCTGAACTGCTATTCTCATTTTACAGGGGTAATTGATCCTTCGCTAAGCCACGCCCCCCTTAGTTACTGTTGCTAACTCTGACAAACTGTCAGACCCGTCGGACTTTTATCATGGCGCTGCTGCTGTCGGTTACTGGACTCCCCGGAAAAATATTGTCTAATTTTTGTAAAAAGCGATCTCAGAAAGAAGCAGTTGCATTGTGCATTTGAAGGTTGAAAAAATAAAGACAGAAGCTAAAGCCTAACAGTTACCGATCACAGAGTAAAAGTGAACCACCGTATTACCTGATTATTGAGAAAGAGGACAACGATATTAAGGATCAACACTGTTGCTGTACAGTGGGGTAACGTTAGGTCTCTGTTCACTTTTACAATCATTAAAAGCATGACAGTAGCGCTTTATAACGAGCTAGAGTTAGCTAACTAACATTACATTAGGAACAATCCACAGCCTACATTTTTCTGGATTCGTTTTAGGTTTTAGAAAGGTACGTACTTCTCCTTTCAACCTCTCTGGGTACCGACTGTAACTATTACAAGTGCCCCAGGAACAGTGTTTGACCATATCTTGGAAAAGATATGACGACGCCTTTTACATTAGAGTCAATAGAGCGCAGCCATGAAAGTGTTGGACCTCAGTTAGAGAGTGATTGGCCAGCTGCATATTCGGGGCGTGGCTTAGTGAAGGGTCAATTCCAACAGAAGTAGTATTTGCTAAGTTACCATATACAACCATTCAAACTGCTACTATTAAACTAACTTTCAAAAACTGTAACAATTGACTCAATAGCAAGTTGACACTTCAGCAATGAATCAGCTTGCTTGACAGCAATACTACCACGCTAACTAGCCTAACAACTGGCTCATCACAAGTGCGACTTCAATGGTTTTATATGCATCTATTTTCGCTTTGGCTGGATGTTATTTATCAGCTAGAAGCCAAGCTATGCGAACCATGACAGAGTATTTAGCTAGCTAGCAAACAGGTAAGCTGGATTTGGTCTGGACAAATCCACACACTGACTGACTTGATGGAGTCTTCTTTCATCTATTAATCGATAAATTAAGTGGCAGATGAATCCATAATGAAAAATAATGGTCAGGTGCAGCCATAATTCTAACTCATTAGGTGACATGTTATTTCTAAACTGCTATTCTCATTTTACAGGGGTAATTCCAACACCAGAGGTATTTGCCAAATGACCATGGATTGCTGGCCTTTTACCTGAACTTGGGGTCCTGCGTTGTGACAACGGCCAACTCAAGCTCAGAAGGCTTGAAGTCAATGGAGAGAACAGTTGACAGACAAGAGATTGCCGTCTAAAGGGGAGAAAAAGGGGAGTTTAGGTAGAGAGATAAGATTGTGTTTATATTTCTGTTTAATTTACTTGACATTAAAATAATAGTTATAACATTAGAAGCCAAACAGCTGGACCGCCTCTGAAGCTACTTTCACATTCATGTTCCTCCCATATCAACCTGTAAAAAGATTGCCTTGGTACCTCAATAGTTTGTTCAAAGGTCCAGTCCAGTTTCTTTTTCACTTTCTTCTCAAGGAAGCTGGTGGCTTCTGTCTGCTTCACTCCGGCGGCGGTGGCCTTGAAACCACAGTAGTAGCCTGCCGGGTCACATTTGTACACCTGGGGGCCGTGCTCCTCGTCTATGCCGATCACGATCATACCTGCGGGCAACAGGCAATCGGAGAGGACTGTGATCGCAACGTTTGGCTTCAGTGTTTCACACCATTAGATTTGTCTAATGCCAAATCACAACTTTGCTGTCATGAGAAAA